GGGAGAGAGAGAAGCCCAGAAACCAGGGTCTGGCTGGAGTGGCTCCTTCCAGGCACAGCTGTGGATGGTGATGGTGATGGCGTTGGGCGGGGTCCACCCCAAGGCGCAAGGCCCACCAAGGTTCCCTCCAATCTTCCCGTCAACATTGGCCTCCGTGGTCGAATGAGCGTCCCCTGGAAAGGAACGATTTCTTGAGCAGGGGGAGTGCGCCTCGCTCTCCAGGAAAACAGTATTTTAAGTATTTTAACAAATTAATCTCCAAGTCTCCACGAACACATCTGGGAGCACCAGGGCCCCAAGGGAGCGGGGTGGGTATTTGAATATGAATGACGCCGGTGATTGAGGCTACTCCTAGGCCTGCGCCCAGAAGGTAGCGCTTTTCAACAGCACGAAGAGGTTGTCTCCTCCGCGATTGGCATGATGATGTTTGTCCTTTTCAATAGCCGGTCTCAATCCCCGAATCAGATGGTTCTCGGAGCTGATTTTGAAATGAGCTCTGACGGGTTCTTCGTGGAAATGTGGGATTCAAACATATTTAGTGCTTAGGGTTTGTTTTTTTCCCTAATAGGAAAGTTTACGACTTGGGTCTCCTTAGCTTTTCTGAGTTCAAAAGCAAAGATCCGATATGATATCTTTTTTAAAAAATATATTTTTATTGATTTCTGAGGAAAAGAGAGGGAGAGAGAGAGATAGAAACATCCATGATGAGAGAGAATCATGGATCGGCCGCCTCCTGCACCCCCCACCTGGGGATCGAGCCCACAGCCTGGGCAGGTGCCCTGATGGGAAATCAAACCATGACCTTCTGGTTCATAGGTCGACTTTCAACCACGAGCCACACCAGCCGGGCTTTTTAAAAATAGGTTTTTATTGGCTTTAGAGAGAGGAAGGGAGAGGGAGAGAGAGAAAGACACATGGATCAATGAACCCGTGAACCTGCAGCCAGAGTATGTGCCCGGACAGGGAATCAAACCCGTGCCCTCTTGGTGCCTGGGTTCACGCTCAAGCCACTGAGCCACACAGGCCAGGGCCTAGGAGCAACCGCCCGGGTGGATTTACTCTCAGCTGCACCGATATTGCCCCAAATCTATGGTGGGAGACACGCTTTCCGGGTGGTTATGACTAATGAAAACCTAAATGAAATTTCCAGTCTTGGGGGCATTTCAATACGCTCTGCTCGCTTCCTGGCTCAGTCCAACTGCCTGTTCCTTCGGGACTTGATGTGTGTTTTCAGCCGCCGCTGTTTGGGGTGAGAAAGACGCCCATTGATCGGGGTGCTGCTACCCACAGACTCCCCAGCAGGCCACGTTCCCACGCAGAATCGGGGTCGCGTGCACAGGAGGAGGCCAGGCACCCCCGCCCACCCAGAGCAGGGCGCGCCTAGTAGGGCCGCAGGAGGTCGGGGAACCCCAGAGAACCGCTGCCTCGTGTTGAAACAACAGCAGAGCCTGGGGTTCCCTCTGGACGGCGAGGGCCCGTCCCTGGGGCCCATCCTCGGGCTCCCTGTGGGGTCCCCCAAGGCCTCCCCGCCCAGCGGAGCGCACCCCGTTCCCACCCTCAAAGCCGGGGGGCCCCCCTCTCCGCTGCCGTCCCCCCTTCTCTCTGCCCAGCGCGTTGCCAGGCGTGTAATTGGGGAAACTCCTCCCCGCGGCCGGGACCGCCTCCGTGCCC